CTGCAAAAAACGCATAAAAAATTAGAAAAAATAAATGTACCTCTGAGGTTTCATAAGGGCAGCATATCGGTCAATACCAATCCAGGCAAGCGTATAGGCAGTGTTCGCAAAGAGTACTATTTCCAGATACACTGAGCATTTACAAATCAACGAATTATCACCCATAAATTGCCAGTCGGGCGCTAGCGCACTATACATACTTGTCGGTATTATTGCTATTGAGCAGAGCAAATCGGTTGCCGATAATGAAACCTGGCAAAAAAAATCCGTTGTTTTATTATCAACTGGAATTGATAAGACAACCAGTCCTTATGCTTCATTCATTCGTTTTGATGGCAAATTGGTAAAGTTACACGCCAAAAAGTCAAAACCATCATCAGGCGTTAAATTTCCACTGCGCTGATCTTAAATGCTGTGAGCCTTTGCTGTGCTTTTGTATCTTTTGTGTTTCGCTTCTTATGTACTAGGCTCATGACAGTGTGTGTTTTTTGAGTGCATATGTGTCCTGCTTGGCGACTGAATAATAAAATTTAAAATATGAAATGTGAGTTTGCTTGTGAGTAACAACTCGAAAGAGGAAGCGATCGACAGCCTGGTTGTCGTTGTCATATGCTATTTATCAATCGAGTTACTTCAACTGCTCTGCTTTTCGTAAAGTTATAAAAAGGTTTGAATCAGCTTTGTACAAGAAAGGGATTACTTAACCGAAACAATGCGTGTTAGCTAGGACAGCGTATCACCTCCCCCTGTTCAAAACTGTTTTCCATGTATTTTTATTCACATTTCCACAAATATAACTTTTTTCCGGGGTACCTAACGAGAAAATTTAACGTGCTTGATTAAAACGTAAATCACTAATCTTGGCTGCTTGATTTAAACTTAAATCACCCCTCTCTATTTAACATTAATGTTTCTTGCGCTAAATTCTGCATCGTGCTATATTTTCCGTTATCCTTGAAGTATTATTATTGTTGCTGCTGTTGTTGTTATTGGTGTTGTTATTATTATTATTATTACTATTATTATTACTATTATTATTATTATTACTATTATTATTATTATTA